TATACTTTTTGAAGCTTTATAACCCGAGTATCTTTTATAATTTTACAACCTTTTTACGTTTGGTCATAAAATGAAATCTATAAAATGTTCAAAATCTCTATCACGTTTGTATCCTCGATTTTAATTACATATTCTTGACGTAAATATAATCAATATATACGGCTGTTGTTATGAAGTTTGACATGTCTTATATCTGTTATAAAGATTTTTTTCTGAGCCGTTATGACCTTGCATGAACGATTGTTTGTTATATAACCCTCGTCTAACGGATCAGTTTATATAACCTTTCCTCTGTTCATAAAACCTTACCACTGTTGATATAACCTTACCACTTTTCATATAATCTAACCACTGTTCATATAACCTTACTACTGTTCATATACTCTTACCACTGTTCATATTACCTTACCACTGTTCATACAATCTTACCATTGTTCATTTACGGTCATTTAACCTGTTGTTTGTTTTTCTAGCTCATTGTGTGATATAAAATAGTTTTATTTCCGTTGTACTGTCAAATACTTGTAAGCTTTTAATATAGGGTGCGGGATATGAATAAGAAATTACCATGTTTACACTTTTGTTGCTGCCATTACTTCCGAGAAAGGTGGATCTTACATTAAAGCGGCACGCCTCCGGGTGAGCCAAAATAGTTCAAGAAAATCAAAACTGCGTTACTAACGCAGTAAGGACCGTTTTTGTATTATGTTGACCACTTTTTGGTAATTTTCTTGGATTGTAAGTGCCGATTGCAATATGTAAATTGCTTTTTTTTGTTCATCTCTCTATATTTTACTTTTCAATACATTGCCAAAATTTTCATGAAAATTAACATGAATCTTGAGGCGTGCTGCTTTATTCGACATCATATAAGACTTGCTATATGTAATGCTTTCCTAGACTCGTTTATTTAAGATTTTGTTGTCTAAGACAACTTGGGGGCGTCCGTGGCCGAGTGGTTAAGGTCGTTGACTTCAAACCACTTGCCCCTCATCGCTGTGGGCTCGAATCCCGACAGGGACTTTGGATTCTTTCATGTGAGGAAGCTATCCAACTAGCTTACGGAACGTCGGTGATTCTACTCAGGTGCCCGTTCGTGCCTGAAATAATGCACGGAAGGCCTGCCTGCGCAGGCTGGTCTGGATCAGTGCTTGTCGGAAACGCACTATGTTGGTTTTGTCTTGACGCGGCTCATATATAATAAATCTACAACAACAATCTGGCGGCACGCTGGACCATATATCATTTGTCAAGTTGCTGACGGGATATACCGCGGGGAGGAACTGTTACACGAGGGATGGAGTTCTTATGATTATTTGTTTGGAGTTCTTATGATAACTGTCACAGAGGTTCTGTAAAACGTTACGAATTTCTGTGGAAAACTGTTCTATATACTTGGATAACTCGGGTTTTTCAATTACTAGTATTAGATATATACCACCAAATAGTTAAATCTTTTGATTATATTATATTTCCTTGTGTAGTCTTTTTTGACATATCGAAAGCGTTTGACCGAGTACGGCACAAGGGTTTACTTATGAAACTTCAGAAAAATGGTATCAAAGGCAACTTGTTGAAATGGATAGAAAGTATCTAATTAATAGAAGTCAAAAGGTCTTTGTTGGGTCTGCTTTATCACATTCACTGACTGTTACCAAGGCTCGGTGCTTGGGACACTATTCTTCCTTGTTTACGTTTATGATATTGTAGAAAATTTGTTATGTATAACTCATTTATTTGCAGGCGACACCTCTTTGTCTTGTACAACATCATCAATATCCGATCTAGAAGGAATTAGTAATCATGATTAAGCTTTGATAAACTTATGGTCTAAAAATGGCTTGTAGATTTTAATCCTAACAAAACAGAAGCGATTGTTTTTACTTTACAACCCAACATTAACAAACCAAAATTACAATTTGATGACATACCAGTAAAATTTGTTGAAAGTCATAAACGTTTAAGTTTAACTTTCAGATCTAACGGAAAATGGCACGATCATATTAAAATTATAACATTATCGGCTTCTAAATTACTAAGTTCAATGAGAAAACTGAATTATTCTCTTAATAGGAAAACCCTAAACCAAATTTATATTTTATTTCTTAGACCTCTTTTATAATATGCCTCTGTAGTCTGGGACGGGTGTACAAATGATGAAAAAGATACGTTAGATAAAATACAGCATGAGGCAGCCAGAATCGTAAGTGGTGTAACCCGTTCAGTTTCTCTCGAAAATTTATATAAAGAAATTAATTGGCTCTAACTATCTGATAGAAGAACGTACCAAAAACTTATTTTAACATATATAATTCATAATGGAGACGTTCCTGATTATTTAAGTAATATTTTTCCAGAAAGCGTTCATAATACAACATCATACAATCTTACAAACTGAGAATATTTTGCAACTTTAAACAGACGAACTCATGTTCCTGTAATATTTGGCAAATGTACATGTTTTCTAAGTAATTTATATAAAAATCAGTTTACATCGTTAAATACTATTCAAGCTAGAGAACATGTACATCCAATCATTTTTATTGTTCTTTCTATCCAAAATCATTTTTAAAGCCAAGAACTATATGTGTGAGTTTTGTTACTTCTATATAACTGATAGCCATTCTTGTAAAATAATTATGTTATTGTAATTTATCGCATCAGGGAAGACCCGTTGCTAATGTTGAGTCAACCCTTTTGCCAAATATGTCATGTCATTGTGTTGTAGCTGTTTACATGTATGTATATATCTTATTTTTGGCAATAAAATATGTTTAAATCGAGAACTCGCGTGAAAAATGATAATTTTCAGTTATGAATGTTCAATTGTCACGGAGTTCTTGTGATAACTCAAAATATGTTCTGGAGTTCTTTTGATGACTTTTGTTACTGCCAGTGTGTTTCTTGTGCTTAATTACGGCACGTTTTAGCGTATTCTATTAGTCAAGAAGTGTGTACATCATAATGAAGCATAGTACGCTTATCATGTGCACAAGATTTGGTTATATAACGTTGGTTTAGAGTGTATTTCAGTTCAATATATGTGAGTCCCCGTAAGATTCATGCCTTTTATCGACCTTGATCCTTTCTGTAGCATCACGTGACATGCAGAAATCTCCATATTTCGGAAAATAATCGCATACATTTTTCTTAGTAATTGATACAGTACGAGTTTTTCTTCAAAAGTGTCTTCTTACAGACGTAAGAAGACAGTTCGCTAAGAGAAATAACAAATTTTCCGAGGCGTAGCCGAGGATAAATTGTAGTATGTCCTAGGGAACTGTCTTCTTCACGTCAGTAAGAAGACACTTTTGAAGATAAAACGAGTAAGTGTATCTGACTTATACGACGTTTAAGTGTAAAGAACAGATAAATTAATTAACAAGTTTAATCATAAATAGATCTAATTGAAATTAAATGCATTTTCACGTTGAAAATATAAAACTATTGAAAATATTTGCTTGGCCTTTGGGCAGTGTAAGGTGTAGGTAAATTGTATTCGAACGGAATTTTCGTGCACTTATTTCAATCGGACAAAATTTACTTTCATTCATTATAAACAATGTTAAAATGGCTGCCTTCAACAAAGGGTCATATTAAAATTTAAATAAAATCAATTATGTCATTCAACATTGAAACCGTCTCTGGACATATTTTGCGTCAATGTTATATGGACAACATTTTGGGCCCTAAATTTTGTGAGTTTCCTTCTTCACATGCCTTGTTTTACGCAATGCTCAGCTGTTTATGGCTGTTGATTTTTTTGCGGGTGTGGGGAGAGGACGGTATAAATGTCATGTTTATAGAATGTCAGACGATACACAAAAAAGATAGAATTTTAGCATTTTCTACCGAACAACTGTTAGTTTTTCCAATGCTAAAATCAACACTAATTTTGTTTCTGGAAATATCCATCCAATTAATTTGACTAATGTCTAGATGAACTGACTGAATTTACTCATGAGTTTCGCTATCAAGCACTAAGAATAGTCGAGCGCACTGGCTCGAACTTCGTGACATTTGAAAATTCGGGTATAAATTTATTCGCCTAGGCTTTATGTTGGCAACACTTCATTATAATTAGGTAATCAAGGATAGCAACGAAGAAGATCACTAAATGAAAAGGTAAATATGCACGAATGAGTAAGTAATATGGAAATTTTACTCAAATCTACCAGATTTTCTTTTTAAAAGGCGATGAAAAATTAACTATAACGTTTTTCTGAAACATAATACAATAAGTAGGACAAGCTTAATAATCAAAGTTTAATTTAGCACCTCAAACTCCCCATTTAAAGGTAAAAATTATCATTTTTCAAGCGAGTTCTCCAAGTATATAGAAAAGATTTCCACAGAAATCCGTAACGTTTTCCAGGAACTCCGTGACAGTTGCCATAAGAACTGCAAACAAGTTATCATAAGAACTCCATCCTTCGTGTAACAGTTCCTCCCCGTGTTTACGGAATGAGATACATGTAAACTGATGTGCTAGCCGATTCAAGAAGGCTACATCCTCCCGTATATCCCTACAGTGCTTGTATAACGAATTTATACTTACGCATAAGAAAACCCACCAACTTAATTAAGAGTGTTTTCAAAGAAGTGCAGAAAAAAGACGTACGTTATCAATGGCTTCGCTTACGCTATTGATAAAAAAAGGAGTTCAAGTATAGGGGCCATCATTTTGGTGTAACTTTTTAAAGTAATGACATTTGAATCGAGATTATGCACATACGTACGTGTGCGTGCTTCGGTTCTTCATGGTACATACGGCATAGTACAAAAATGTTTAAGCTAATCAGAATTCGAGAAATTCATTTGCATTACAATACAATTTTACATAGCCGGACAAACCTTCGTCGGTAATCAGGGGTACATGTACAATTAATTCTGTGGTTGTATACATGTATTGTTGTATATGTCCGAGCTAACAGATTGAACATCAATTAAGAACAAATGCTCAAAGTTAGACCCTTTTATATGGCCGAATCAACAAGCTGCAAGATATCATTATTTACTATGATAAATAAATGGACAGGTTCAAAACAAAAAGAACATAAAATAATATCAACAATTAACAAAAGTGTATAGAATGATAAGGAGTGTATTTCATGCCACGTTGCAAATAATTGTTTGTTGTTGTTGTTGTTGTTGTTGTTGTTGCTGCTGCTGCTGCTGCTGCTGCTGCTGTTTTTGTTATTGTTGATGCTGCTGCTGTTGTTGTTTTTGATGATGATGTTGTTGTTGTTGTTGTTGTTGTTGTTGTTGTTGTTGTTGTTGTTGTTGTCGTCGTTGTGGTGTTATTCCCATTTGTTTTAAAACGTAAATATATGCATGTTTATATATACAATTTGTTGATATTGGATATAATAGTAATGCGATCGAATACTAGTACATTGTATTCGTGACATCGTTGTAGAATTTATCTCGTCTTTGCCTGACAATTTAATATGGTGATACACATGAGTTCAGCAACACCCCACTGAAGGTTGTATAATACCCGCCGTACATACCCGAACCAGCGCAACATGCCAGTCTCACAGCCACCGTATCGCCGCTTCTAAGATTGGCAATTATCGTATTCGAACCTTGGGCATGATATCCATGGAGACCCTTTCCGTACAACCGGGCATATAGTTGACCGTTAACAATTATATCTGCTGCAAACAAAGCATTACTGGCACCATTAGCGCTTAACATCGAGGATGAGAACATGTACAAGCCAGCGGACGGTGCTGTGAAAATGCCATGGTGGTTGTTGTACCCGTTACCTAGGTTGAGTAGGACAGTTTCAAATATTATCTTTTGATTGACTCCAAGTTGCGCAATTCCATGGATGTTCGCGGCATGAAAAGCAACACTTCTCCCATGCGAGACTGAATCTAAAATAGAAGGAATGTTAGCGGTAATATTTTTCGCCATGAAAATACAAAAACGAAGATTCGGCAAAATAAAAATTTGTAGTATCTTTGCGTTTTCTCATTTTCACAAAAGCGAAAGGATAACAAAATCATGCAAAAATAGGCTACATAAAATACATTGTGTGTTTGTATGACGTCTGTTATATCTTTGCGTTATCGCTACTGAATTGCAACATTGCAGCAACATAAAGATTCGACACAATCAGATTTGCCGTGTTTTTGTTTAAATTTCTGCATTGATGTTTTCTCTATTTTTGTTCATTGGTGTATTTTTGCATTTTTGCATTTTACATTTTCGCTTTAAAACATTGTCGTATTTTGCATTCCAGTTATTAAAGCACATTCGTAATAGAAATGGAGAGTTTATAAAATGTAGTAAGAAAATATTATATAAAATGCGAGAAGGTAAATATTCGAAAATGCAAAAAATACAGCAAATATTGATTTTTTACTAATTTTGTAAACTTTTTGATTATTTTGTCTCGAGAATGCAAGAAAACGAAATCACGGCATGGCGTAAATCATCCGTCATACATAACCAAAGTAGATGAGATCAATTAACGTGATTTTACATTATAAATCTTATTCATAAGGAGCTTACACATATAATCAACTGCCCATGTTCACGTAAGCTTGCATCATCCAGATAATCAACGTTTTGCAATCTAATCTATGCTTTCAAAAAATGAAGAGGGGCGAATCTCTTCTCAAAATATAGTAAGGTAAATGCAAATGAGCCATGATTGTTATACTTACGGTTCAAAGTATTGGATGTCTGTAATACCTCAATAGCCTCGACCTTGGCTTCAAGCTTATTAAGACTAGCTTTTAAACTAGTCACGGTGTCAAGAAGTTCTTCTTCTCGAGACATTTCACTGTCTTTGCTGATGTCATTATTACTATCAAGAGTATCAAGTGAACTAGCATCTATATCAAGAGAATCCTCTGAAATTAAAAAGTTAGTGTTACAATTGTGTCTAGTAGTATATAATGTTTTACTTGTAACATTGATTTTAATTTTAACAATAATGATCATAAGTTCTATAAGGTTCTCAAGTGCGGGATATGAATGAGAAATTACCATGTACACTTTTGTCATTGCTTCCGAGAAAGGTGGATTTTACATTAAAGCTGCACGCCTCCAGGTGAGCCAAAATAGTTCAAGAAAATCAATAATGGGAAAAATGTACTAAAAATTTAAGAAAGGTAAAATCATTCAATATCCAAGTTATATTTGACATGTTACATTTGTTCTGTTAAACACTGATTTTGGAGTATTTTATCCCCATATTTCTACTGCGTTACTAACGCAGTAAGGACCGTTTTTGCATTAAGTCGACCACTTTTTTTGGTAATTTTCTTGGATTGTAAGTGCCGATTGCAATATGTGAATTGCTTTTTTGTTCACCTCACTATATTTTACTTTTAAATAAAATTCCAAAATTTTCATGAAAATTAACATGAATCTTGAGGCGTGCTGCTTTAATCGACATCATATATAATTAAGACTCGCTATATGTAATGCTTTCCTAGACTCGTTTAATTAAGTCTAAATGAAAAGATTTGTGGCCTAAGATAACGTACATGTACTGTTTGATATTACACTGTGAATCATACAATTCACACTATTCAAGTACTGTTTTATAAAAATTCTAGGTGGAAATACAAACTTCATCAAGAATGAAAGCAACAAATACCACACTTTGTCCACACTTTGTTCTGCCGGGAAGTTTTGTCAGTTTGAGTATTACTGTGTGCGGTAGTCAGCTATGAAAAACACAGAAATAATACCGCGTCACGACAAAACCAACATAATGGGTTTGCGACCAGCATGGATCCAGACCAGCCTGCGCATCCGCCCAGTCTGATCAGGATCCATGCTGTTCGCTTACCAACTCTATTACAAGTAGAGAAACTGATAGCGAACAGCATGGATCCTGATCAGACTGCGCAGATGCGCAGGCTGGTCTGGATCCATGCTGGTCGCAAAACCACTTTGTTGGTTTTGTCGTGACACGGCTCATGTTATTTTAAAAAAAAACGACTTTGTATTGTAAACGTACCTGTTGATAGTTCATTGTTCACCAATCTGGCTCGAACCAATGCGGGTGACACTGTCAATACCAGTAGAATAATTGTTGGAAACATTTTCCTAATTACGACAAGCATCTCCTGTAACGTAAAAATCGACATGACATGAATGTCAACATGTTATATCTATTTAAGAGTCCTTGGCATACAAACAAAGCAAATTAAATTAAAAAACGTGTAACAGATATAAGGGGACCAGACCGTTACCATATTCTCAGTCCGCAACCGCTCAAACAACGCAAAGGTTAATTGTGAACGATTCTTGTGTGTGGAGACTGGACCGCAAAATTTGCTGTTTTGCTGTGTTGCCAAGTTTACTCTCACAGAACATCTAAAAACAATAAAAATGTAAAAGAGAGGAAAATACGGAAATAAAAAGTTTGTATTTCAACGGAACGAATGTAACTCAGTCAACCTTGTGAGCCTTCACTTCCGAACAATTCAGCGAATTTATTCCAAACATAAGATAATTTCTTACAATCAATGTATGCAATATTTTCAACAATGCTATTATACCAATTTGATGTACATACGTACGTGTGCGTGCTTCGGTTCTTCATGGTACATACGGCATAGTACAAAAATGTTTAAGCTAATCAGAATTCGAGAAATTCATTTGCATTACAATAAAATTTTACATAGCCGGACAAACCTTCGTCGGTAATCAGGGGTACATGTACAATTAATTCTGTGGTTGTATACATGTATTGTTGTATATGTCCGAGCTAACAGATTGAACATCAATTAAGGACAAATGCTCAAAGTAAGACCCTTTTATATGGCCGAATCAACAAGCTGCAAGATATCATTATTTACTATGATAAATAAATGGACAGGTTCAAAACAAAAAGAACATAAAATAATATCAACAATTAACAAAAGTGTATAGAATGATAAGGAGTGTATTTCATGCCACGTTGCAAATAATTGTTTGTTGTTGTTGTTGTTGCTGCTGCTGCTGTTGTTGTTATTGTTGATGCTGCTGCTGTTGTTGTTATTGTTGATGCTGCTGCTGCTGCTGTTGTTGTTATTGTTGATGCTGCTGCTGTTGCTGCTGTTGTTATTGTTGATGCTGCTGCTGCTGTTGTTGTTATTGTTGATGCTGCTGCTGCTGTTGTTGTTTTTGATGATGATGTTGTTGTTGTTGTTTTTGTTGTTGTTGTTGGTGGTGGTGGTGGTGGTGTTGGTGCTGTTGTTGTTGTTGTTGTTGTTGTTGTTGTTGTTGTCGTCGTCGTTGTTGTGTTATTCCCATTTGTTTTAAAACGTAAATATATGCATGTCGGTATATACAGTTTGTTGATATCGGATATAATAGTAAGGCAATCGAATACTAGTACATTGTATTCGTGACATCGTTGTAGAATTTGTCTCGTCTTTGTCTGACAATTTAATGTGGTGATACACATGAGTTCAGCAACACCCCACTGAAGGTTGTATAATACCCGCCGTACATACCCGAACCAGCGCAACATGCCAGTCTCACAGCCACCGTATCGCCGCTTCTAAGATTGGCAATTATCGTATTCGAACCTTGGGCATGATATCCATGGAGACCCTTTCCATACAACCGGGCATATAGTTGACCGTTAACAATTATATCTGCTGCAAACAAAGCATTACTGGCACCATTAGCGCTTAACATCGAGGATGAAAACATGTACAAGCCAGCGGACGGTGCTGTGAAAATGCCGTGGTGGTTGTTGTACCCGTTACCTAAGTTGAGTAAGACAGTTTCAAATATTATCTTTTGATTGACTCCAAGTTGCGCAATTCCATGGATGTTCGCGGCATGAAAAGCAACACTTCTCCCACGCGAGACTGAATCTAAAATAGAAGGAATGTTAGCGGTAATATTTTTCGCCACGAAAATTCAAAAACGATGATTCGGCAAAATAAAAATTTGTAGTATCTTTGCGTTTTCTCAATTTCACAAAAGCGAAAGGATTATAAAATCAGGCAAAAATAGGCTACATAAAATACATTGTGTGTTTGTATGACATCTGTATTATCTTTGCGTTTTCGCAACTGAATTGCAACATTGCAGCAACATAAAGATTCGACACAATCAGATTTGCCGTGTTTTCGTTTAAATTTCTGCATTGATGTTTTCTCTATTTTTGTTCATTGGTGTATTTTCGCATTTTTTGCATTTTACATTTTCGCTTTAAAACATTATCGTATTTTGCATTCCAGTTATAAAAGCACATTCGCAATAGAAATGGAGAGTTTATAAAATGTAATAAGAAAATATTATATAAAATGACTTTACTAATTAAACTATTGTGATTTAATTTGATAATCAACTAACGGGTTAAAGTTGACCTCAATATTACATATGCTGCGGATTCTATATTCTTAGGCATATCATGATCGTTCGGAACCTTAAGGTGAAGACGCGAAAAAAGCAAATTGCAAATGCGCGAAAATTACTACGGCAATAAGAAATGTAGCAATGCAAAAAAGCAAAAATTGCGAGAAGGTAAATATTCGAAAATGCAAAAAATACAGCAAATATTGATTTTTTTTACTAATTTTGTAAACACTTTTTGATTATTTTGTCTCGAGAATGCAAGAAAACGAAATCACGGCATGGCGTAAATCATCCGTCATACATAACCAAAGTAGATGGGATCAATTAACGTGATTTTACATTATAAATCTAATTCATAAGGAGCTTACACATATTATCAACTGCCCATGTTCACGTAAGCTTGCATCATCCAGATAATCAACGTTTTGCAATCTAATTTATGCTTTCAAAAAATGAAGAGGGGCGAATCTCTTCTCAAAATATAGTAAGGTAAATGCAAATGAGCCATAAATTGTTATACTTACGGTTCAAAGTATTGGATGTCTGTAATACCTCAATAGCCTCGACCTTGGCTTCAAGCTTATTAAGACTAGCTTTTAAACTAGTCACGGTGTCAAGAAGTTCTTCTCGAGACATTTCACTGTCTTTGCTGATGTAATTATTACTATCTAGAGTATCAAGTGAACTAGCATCTATATCAAGAGAATCCTCTGAAATTAAAAAGTTAGTGTTACAATTGTGTCTTGTAGTATATAATGTTTTACTTGTAACATAGATTTTAACTTTAACAATAATGTTCATAAGTTCTATAAGGTTCTCAAGTGCGGGATATGAATGAGAAATTACCATGTACACTTTTGTCATTGCTTCCGAGAAAGGTGGATCTTACATTAAAGCTGCACGCCTCCAGGTGAGCCAAAATAGTTCAAGAAAATCAATAATGAGAAAAATGTACTAAAAATTTAAGAAAGGTAAAATCATTCAATATCCAAGTTATATTTGACATGTTATGTTCTGTTTAACACTGATTTTAGAGTATTTTATCCCCATATTTCTACTGCGTTACTAACGCAGTAAGGACCGTTTTTGCATTAAGTCGACCACTTTTTTGGTAATTTTCTTGGATTGTAAGTGCCGATTGCAATATGTGAATTGCTTTTTTGTTCACCTCACTATATTTTACTTTTAAATAAAATTCCAAAATTTTCTTGAAAATTAACATGAATCTTGAGGCGTGCTGCTTTAAACGACATCATATAACATTCGCTATGTGTAATGCTTTCCTGGACTCGTTTAATTAAGTCTATATGAACAGATTTGTGGCCTAAGATAACGTACATGTACTGTTTGATATTACACTGTGAATCATACAATTCACACTATTCAAGTACTGTTTTATAAAACAACATGCAGGATTCTAGGTGGAAATACAAACTTCATCCAGAATGAAAGCAACAAATACCACATTTTGTCCACACTGTTCTGCCGGGAAGTTTTGTCAGTTTGAGTATTACTGTGTGGGGTAGTCAGCTATGAAAAACACATTGTTATTTAAAAAAAACGACTTTGTATTGTAAACGTACCTGTTGATAGTTCATTGTTCACCAATCTGGCTCGAACCAATGCGGGTGACACTGTCAATACCAGTAGAATAATTGTTGGAAACATTTTCCTAATTACGACAAGCATCTCCTGTAACGTAAACATCGACATGACATGAATGTCAACATATTATAATAACTATTTAAGTGTGTGGACACTGGACCGCAAAATTTGCTGTTTTGCTGTGTTGCCAAGTTTAATCTCACATAACATCTAAAAACAATAAAAATGTAAAAGAGAGGAAAATATGGAAATAAAAAGTTTGTATTTCAACGGAAGGAGAATGTAACTCAGTCAACCTTGTGAGCTTTCACTTTCGAACAATTCAGCGAATTTATTCCAAACATAAGATAATTTCTTACAATCAATGTATGCAATATTTTCAACAATGCTATTATACCAATTTGATGTACATATTGGCGCTTATTAAATTTCAGTTCATTCGTTCAATTCGTTTTTCAAGAATAATGTTTTCTTATCGTGCAAAAAGTCCCCAAACTCCCACCCCGACTTACTTATGGTCGTGCCTAAAATACGGAGGGGCACCTGAAGCTGAAATGTTGCTATCATTTTTACCTATACTGTGTTGATTGACGTAAAATTCAACAACAACAAAAGAAAAGCGTCTTTAAAGCTTTTAACTCAAATTGGTCGCACAAATGTGTATGCGTATAATTTAATTCTGAGTATTTTAAAGCTATTTGTTATTAAGTACCAAAGTTGCTGTTTTGTTGGGTTTTTTTTTATTTTTTTGTGTATTTTTTTTTTTTGTTGTTTGTTTTTTTGTTTTTGTTTTTTTTTTTTTCGTTTTTTTTTTGTCATTGTGGTTTTTTTTCGATACTGAAACTGTAAATAATATATTTCTTTAGTAATTTAAAAATTAAATTATTTAATAATATGCTAACATTATACGACTTGCTTGTATTTTTAAACCAGTTGCAAACATTGTAAGCAATTTGGAAAAATGTCGGAAAATTAAAAGTTATATTATTGAATACTATTTTACAGAAGTTTTACAGAACAAATATGGAAAAATGTTATAATATATATGATATATTTAATCATGTGCTAACAAAGAAATATCTTAATGGCATAAATGACAATAATGATAGTATTAGTAATGATAAAAAATATAGTTACCTTCTTTGTTATTTGTATATTCACTTCGGGCGAAAGTTAGAGTGATTGTTTTATATTTAAACTGCTTTATTTAAAGCATGCCGTTAAGTGTGTGGCACGTGCGCACCTGGCCTTGCAAATTCCACTTGATTCGAATATAGATAACATGTCAAAATTTACAAAATTACTTACCGATTTACAATTGAAAATATTATATCTGTTTAAACAGACGGATGTATTTAATTTGGTGTCTTATATAGAAAACATTAAACTCAAAAATGATGCTATCTTGATTAAACTATAGCCTGTTGAAAGTCCGTTTAGACTTAACAATGTGAAAATCATTTTAAACTTTAAAAGCATGCTACTTGAAAATACTGAACAATTGTGTTATCTCACTACTACACAGTTTTAATTTCCTTTAAGGTCAAACTTTGAGCCATCATCTCATGTTAAACAGGATCTTTTTAACATAGACTAGGACATGGCCAGCTTTAAAGCAACATGCCTATAGATACTAGTATTGGTTCTTGCTAATGTTTTATGAAAATTGAGAAATTACATCCCAAAACTTAGACGCATCGTCAAGTTTATACACACATAGGTTCCCAAAAATTACACAAAAATGTCGAAAAAACTGCAAAACTGTTCTCACTCCGTAAATAGCGTGATTTTAAACATAAATTACATGTAACAAGGCAATCACGACTAGGAAATCTAACAATTTTAAATTCTTGATTTTAACGTTATTGGTGAAGATTGTAAATTTAAATGGGCTGAATAGCGATAAACCAATCTCTAAAGAATGGCTTAAACGTCAAAATTAAAAAACTGATGTATGCTCGGTTTGATTGAGCCTGTTCATGGACGATTCTGGAAAGTGCTAGACTATAGCTTCAACAAAAACAAGAATGAACAGTAAGTTCACAAATTACGCTTGTAAATATCCCGAACAATATCGTGAAAGTTGACCATAATGACTTCATATAATATTTCATTAAATTTGAGCCCATTCTTAAAGGAATAGGAATGGATGGATTGATGTCTGTCTAATATAAATATTCATCATTTAAAAAGAGGAACCATGACAGTTTTCCTATTGACATCAACCCTATAAGAGAGAAATTCGTGTTTTAAGACACTAATTTTTACTTGAGAAATAAGTTCATGGGCGCCGCCATTTTGGCGTTCTGTCATTCTCGCGAGACAGACGAGACCGAGATTGTGACGTGTAATACCCACTTCCGGTATAGGTGTACACGCTGGTACAACTGAAATATATCTTGATGAAGAACTTATTAATTTTATTGCGTACATTATATATTATTTATGAAAACATCGTATGGAACTGAATTGCTTTAATTAATTAATTGAAGACGCCGCGACATTAATTATCTCCGATATTCAAGCTTGCTGATGATCCCACCACATGATTGAAGCCATGACTGCTTAATTTTCAAAGATAAACCATAAATTTAATTTGGGTACTATGAGAAACTTCTTCAAATTGACGATATATCCTTTTATTTTGTACTTAATTTTCGCTAGACAAGCTGTCCAAATAGGGTACATCGCCGGTCATGTATCTTTTTTTTTCAGGTAAATATCAACTAAATCCCATATGCTGAGGACGCGATTTTCAGCTTGACGCTAAAAATGAGAAAGGCGCAGGAAAATCGGCAGCCACACTAATATCGTATGAAAACAAAACTGCCCGTTAGGTTATTTAGGCACCCAGTCAAAAATGGTACCAACAGCAACAGGTTGCCCATTCTCCTATAATTACGCATATTCTCGGGTTTATCCAGTTCCCTAAAGCTTTTTCCCACGTTATTTACTTACCAAATTCCTTTCCCCGACAGATACGCATTTCTACTACCGTAAATTTAATCCAATAAAACAAAAAATCATAAATCTACTTAATATTTAAAATGATTATTGGTAACTGAAAAAAATGTGTTGCTATTTTATGACGTGCTGTAATTTACTACAATTTAATTTGACAGGTGTGGAACCTAATTCCCCCTAAGGTCATTCAGTTCATTGATGAAGCGTAAAAAAAATAGATGTCTATTTCGTCATTAGAATATTTGACAAGGGTGATTAACCAATCAGGGCAACATTGTGCATGATCAAAAGGTCTGTCGGCACAGAGGCATAAAGGAACAATAAAAATCGTCAGTACACAGTGTGACAGGAGCATTTGGTGCTAGGAACAATTAAAATAGACAATGCGCAGTATTAGACATAAGTAGTAATTAAGAACCAGCAATTGTGTGAATAAATTATGCAAATTAGATTTTTGAGCAGCCAATAAAAATGATTTGCCTGCAGTTAATATAAGGCTACGATTACGATGCGCAGCATCATACGTTGACAGACATATTAACAATTTACTTTTCAAAAGAGTTGCTTATATTTTTGAAATGTGTACATCAATTATAACATATGTTCACACCTTTAAATTTGAAAGTCAGAATCAAACTGCAAAAATTTAATTATATGTACTATTAAGAACACGTAGGGTTAGTAGGGTTTTTATAATGGAAGTGGCTAGCGTACGGGCCCGTACGGCTAGCCAAAAGTTTTAGCCGTACGTGAGTCACGTACGACTAGCAAGGACACGCTGTATTGGCTAGCCGTGCGGCACTTTTAAAAAATTTATGGAAGTCAAAAATGCATATGTTATTTTATGACTTTAAGCGAGGATTTTAACCAAGAAACAGCATAAATTGTCTTTGGATGTTAACTTTTTAGAGATTAATCGCCTTGATCGCTATATATATCGATTTTTGTCATCGCAAGATGTCGAGAAAAAATAGCCTTTGCTTGCATTTACACCAATTGAAATAGTTTACAAAATTTTGATAATAATCCTTTTTTGTTTCATTAAGTTTAATTTTCGACACCTTTTATATGAAAAAAAAAAAAACAACAAACACTGAAAATGATTGTTGTTAGGCTCTTGATAATTGCGACAATTACCGACGGTACTGTATAGAAGTTTGTCCATCAAGGAAAGTTTGCATGTTCCGTGAAAGGCATTCTAAAATTCTATTGTCAGTCCCTGGATAGGTTTTAATTAAGGCTAATTAATTGATTGGGATATTTATCTACTGTTTTGAAAATTATATAATTATTTTTGCATTTCATTTTTGGCTAGCCGTACGTTTCTTTATTTTTTATTTTTTTTTTGGATATTGTTACGTATTTTGAACCATAAAAAAATCTCCTCTACACCTCCTGTGAAAATTAAATTGTCTGGTCAATACTTTATTATATTAATATTTCCTTACGATTCAACTAGATTTATCATGAATCTAAAGATGTGGGGAAATGACATCACGCGCACCTGTTTTTATACGGCCAATACACAAACATGGCCGCGCTTACTGATTTGTAGAGATCGGTGATTTAGCTATTTAAATTTTGTTATCATTCGTTTAATATTATTATTTGGCGGCAGAAAATTTGCAGACTTATTATTTATAGTATTCTTTTTCTGAAATCAAGTTTTTATTCTATCCTTGTCTTTCCCTTTAATTAAGAGCACAGTATCTTTCTTTTTACGTACTCTCGCGACTCTTCTTGACTATCACAATATCTAATAACATGTCAATGTCGATGTTTAAAAGAAGTGAGAAACGGAATCACTAAAGAACACCCATAATGATTTTGTATGATTGTGCCTTTCATGGACTGTACTAGAAAGTGTAAGTTACCGCCCGACTTAGGCAGAATTCGATATCTAAAAATGAAAATGATGAAATTTTGAATTTAGAAACATCCGCAGATGTGTTCATACGGTGGCTGTCATTGAACGTTCAATGTGACACTTTTGTGCCATTCCATAGAAAGACCCAAGTAAAATAAAATGCGTGGAACAATAGGCACAACTAAACAAAATGGAATTTTGAAAGGGGTTAGAGTTTATGAAGCCGGCATTCTACAAAAAGCAGGCACAATGTCAGATTATAGCGTATTTAAGTAGGAATACTGGAACCTCAAAAGTCGAAAACGGTGAGAGGATAGAAACTTGAAAAATGTCTGATAGCTAAACTCATTCATGCACTAATAGCATCATAAATACAGTTTGTTTGCTATTATTTAATGTTTACGTTGTTTTATTGTCTTTCTGGTGCACCTTATTATCGTATTTTGACTCAATGTGCTCTTTAAATGTTCTGCAAATAATGTTGACAATGCTCTCTTGTACATTTGGTACATGGGTGTCATTGAGAGGTACAGGGCAGACGATTCGGAAAGTTCATTTTAAGACTGCGGAGTTAAACTCGACATATATTTTCGGCGGGTCAGTACGTTGTCAATGTCCTATGTCACGTTCAGAACTGTTCACTATTTAGCGGGGAAGATGTGTAAGCGGCCGGATAGCTCAGTCGGTAGAGCCGCGCTACGGTATTCCGAGGGTCCAGGTTCGAGTTTCGGTCAGGCTGCACATTTTTCTCACCCTGTGACATTTGGCGCCAAACTGGGAACCGTGACTGAATATAGCACATTGCTCTGTAACTCTGTGAAATTCGAGGAAGAATTTCAATATAGCAGGGGGGGGGTGTATGTTAAGGTTCAGAACTATTAATTAACTCTTTAGGGGAGAAGATGAGTAAGCAGCCGGTAGCTCAGTCGGTAGAGCCGCGGTATGGTATTCCGAGAGGAATTCGAATCCTGGTCAGGATGCACATTTTTCTCACCCTGTAATACCTATACAACTGTTCAAAGCCGTTAGACCACTGTTTTCATTATTCCTCATGTACATACTCAATCAAACCGAGTCTGCAATTTTCATGTAATTTTGTTGCGATTTATTCCCTTTCTCCAGATCTTCTAAGGTGCGTTAGTCCCTAGTACGCAGTGGTGACCTGAAAAATAGGCATTGGTTTACCACCGTCAGCCCAGGTTAAGGTTAAATGTATCGTTTTCGTTGTTTAATAGGTTTAATTAAGTGCCCATTGACCATGTCTGTCGCAGTGCACAGACCTTCTTCATTTTTTTTTTATAAATACTTTGTTAGAAAGAGGTATATTATCATCACTTTGTGCTTCAAAAATGAACTCTTTATGGACATGACTGGTTGCATGCATATTATTCGTATTCGATAGTGAAAGCGACATTTCTGGTCTCAAGTTAACGGTGCACTGGGGCAAAT